TTTTGAGATAGCCATGCATGTGTCTTTCTTATACTGCTGCCACAAACCCCAACACCAGCTGTGAAAAAATGGAAGCCACAACTGCACTAGTAACCTTAAAAGGTCATGAAATGTTTTCTTCACAACTGGATGCAACAAACATGAGTGCTAGCAAAAAAGAATTTTACTTTCCCTGATATATTAGGTTCTTTGCCTGACACAATGAATTGACATGATGGGTGACAGAACCAGCCATTAAAAGGTCATAAATTTATTTTTAAAAAGAAGTGACAACACACAAGAAAGACTGAACCAAATGCTTTTAGAGAATTCAAGCCATTAGCCAATCTACTCAGTTTAGGTCTCCTTCTAGAACCACAGTACTTGGAAAGCACATTGATAAGAAAAAGAAATTATTAAGATTGGCATTTAACTAAAACTTCCACCATGTCCTTCAAAAAAGGATTTCCAACAAATTCAAAGTAACCTCTCCTCCCATTTAGTCTGAAGGTTCCTGAGCCAGTTTGGAAGACAGACAAATCAAAACCCACCAGCTTTCTCACTGTGCTCCCAGCATTGTGCAGAGCACAACACTATTAGCAATTATCCATAATGCCAAACAAAAGAAAGCCTCATCGGAGGTGAGGAAACCAGGAAGACAAAAGCCTTTAACTTCCTATTAATGTTGTTAACTCCCCTGGCTTTATCCTTTCTTTCCTTACAGTCTACACTCCCAGCAGTGCACGCTCCCCTCTTTCCTATACCCTCCTCTGCTGTAGCACTAGGCAAAATATCAACAGAAGATAGATGAGCCCCTCTTTCTTTGCTCCACCTCTTTAGGTGGAGGTCAGGGCCCTGACAGGACAAACATATACTGCTTTGCTTCTCCCTGGTACTCCTGAAGATCCACTGTGATGCTGTGAAGAGCCACTGTGTTGAGAGGTGCCAGGCCTGAGGAAACACAGATGCCTCCTGTGGCATGCAGCTACAGGAAAACTAATACAGGCCCTTTGAATCTTGTTCAAAACACCAGGCAAACATGGGGGAGGAGGTGGGGAAGACCACAAAGAGAGGGGCATTCAATACATGGATGCCAAGATAGCAACGCTGTCAGCTGCGCTTAAAGTTGTTGCTCTCCAGAGCAGTGTAAGAAAGAATATGGGGCTCAGTTGAAGCCTTAATTTAAACAAAACAGAGGGGCTGGATTAAGCACATACAAACAGCCTGGCGCTTCAAACAACATAAAAATATGGTCTGGGAATGGCAGCTCAAAGCAGAAAGGTCTAAAGTCTGTTTATGTCACTGTGATAGCTGCTGTGATCCATCAGATTTCGTACACCCAGAATGTGGTACACAGAAGTTTCTGTAAAAATTACATTCAATAAGTTATCCAGGAATTTCACAAACTTGGCAGAAAGAAGTACAGCTATCTCAGTGACACTCTGGGTCCCCCACAAGAGCACACACACTATGAGAACTGTGATCAAAGACACTTCCTTCAAAATGGGTATCGTGGACATCTGAAATTTTACACCACCAAAAAGACACTTAATGCGTATCAAGACACTCATATGACTGACTGTGTCATTCTTGAGGAACATAATGAGCCAATTCAGCTACCCTGAAATTTGAACTCCTGTGTCTTGGAATTATAAAGAAAAATATTCCCAAGATAATTTAAAGCATCAAAGCAAGGAACATCTGAGCCATTTAGCTATTAGCTGACCTAGTGCCTTCAATCCAGTTTTAAAATGAATGGGTCACTGTTTAATTATTACTGTTTAACTATTGTTTTCTTAACTTATGGAAAAAAAGTTATCATTCAGATAGCTACAGCTCACCCAGAAACATCCTGTTTCCTATTCTGATAATCTCAGCAAATCCTGGAAACAGCAAGTTGAGAGGGGAAATACTGTCTTCTGTGACTAAGGAAAAAGGCTTTAAAGCTTCATTTCTCCATCAGAACATGCAGAGACATCCCTCTAGATGGGATGCAGCAGAAAGCAGCTGGTGCCCAAATTTAGCTTTGTCTTGTCATTCAGGTATAAATCCTTCCACCTTGCTGATATGAATAAAAAAAGTACCTGTTTCTGCACCGCTATTGGACTGCCATCTGCTGATTTACAGGTCTTGCCTAAAAAGCACACCTGAAGAGACCTGCTAGAAGAGACCAGTTCTACTCAGAAAAGTAAGGTTCCTGTTTGTGGAAAGGCAGGGAGAAGAAAAGCAGGGGAGGGAGAAGGGATGCTGCCCAGACCAGTTATGCTGTCTCCATCCCTAGAGTTTTCCAGGATCCAACCAGAATATGACCTTGCACCTGAGCCTGTTTTGTGCAGGTTGAACTAGAGACATTTTGAAGTTCCTTCCAACCTGAATTACTCCATGAAGTGCATACTTAGAAATAATTGTAAGCTTGTGGGTATTCTGTATATATTCTAATACACTTCCTTTGGTAATGGACTGACAAAAGTAAGTGCTTGCAATAACACGGTCATATCATCATCCTTTATCAGTGTTAAGTCATCAGTCTGACAGGATGACACAAATTCCATTTGCCATAATAATGATTCCCTGCCTTGAGATAACCTCTTTTAAATTGTGTTACACAACAAGAGTCCTAGACTCAATTCTAATTACCAAGCCAATGATAGTTATAATTACCACCATAAGGGATCAAGAAAGCAAGGACACAAAAGCAGGTTCAAAAATAAAAGCAAAATCTTGGCCTACTCATTATTTAAGTGACCTATTCAGAATTTCATTAAACATGTTGAATCCCCCTCAATGTAATGCCACAGAAAGACAGAGTGTGGGTTTTTTTAAGAACAAAGTTAGGACAGCAATAAATCCATGAGCTAAGCAACTGAATGAACCTTAATTTGAAAGATCAGAGGGTCTCAGGTAAAAGACACAGACCTATACACATCTATGCACAGGAAGAACTTCTCATATAATTTGTTCTTCACTCAGGGAAAACACAAAAATAAATCTTTAGCACAACATTAAAATTACTTTTGCACAATATTCATCAACATCCCATCAGATCGCTCACTATCAGAGCAAATGCACTAGCAATGCATAAAAATACGGGCTTTTTTAATTTTGAGATGATAACATGATGCTGTCCTGGAAAACATGTATGCTGAAAAAACTAACACTAATGGTTAATCTTTATTTTAGTAGCATGGTGCCCAAGAAAAAAGTTCCCCTTAGGCATCCACCACTGGCAACTGAAAGTGAAGGAACTCTAAGATCAGGCCTTGTCAGATCTTTGTCCTCTAACATCTTAAAACAAAAATTCAAACACATATAAGTCCAAGGAAAGCTAACATAAAATAACACTCCCATCACCCAAAAATATCCAAAAGAAAGTAAAGCATGGCCCTGTCACATCTTGCTCACGCTTTCTTCAAAAATTTTGTACTGAACAGAAACCAAAAATTAGGTAACAGCTTCTCACCACAAGACCAGCTTCAACTTGCCTTCCTCATTACCCTCTATCAAGCAGCTTTACACATCAGAAGTGGATAGCTGATAGGAAAGACGCAGGACAGGGACTTGGAACATAAACTGAATCGTGACTGTAGCTTTACACCCTAGAGATAAGTAAGAGTTTTATCTTCCAACCAAAACAACACATGAAGCTTTTCTATGTCATTAATTATCACCGAATAGAAGTAATTTTAAAATTATATATATTGATATATATGGGGGGAGGGGGGAAGCCACAGTTATTAATCTTCTGAGATTTCCCAGTAGAAACCTAGTGCACTCCTACCAAGGGTAAATACTACCATAAAGATATTTGGCAGTAATCTTAAACCTCCAGAACCTCTTGGTATTTGGCATATTTTGAAGTGGGGTAAAATAAATTTCATGGTCTTTTGATTATGCACACACTCCATTAGATTCTAGAGATTTGCAAAATACCACAAAAACTAGGCTATATCAACATTTGGCTTTTTCCCCCCCCTTCCCTCACCATGAACTAGGCCACAAAATTAACAGGCCTTTTTAAAGAATATTCATACAGTAAATGACCTCCTATAGTGAATATTACTTTTCTATTCTCTGTTGGAAACCTCTCAAACAGCTTGCCTGCAGGTTTTTTTTCCTAGGAAAACAGCCTATCCCAAGTAAAGCAAAACAAAGACTGCAACAGGCACAGCTATCACTGGGGATTTACCCTCCTGTATACACTGAATTCCCAGAACAAAGTTTTCTGGTGAGGCCGACCACCCAGGAAAATTCCCATAGTGTGGCACTCCAACTGGGAAGGGAAATCTGTAGGGACATCCTCAAATTCCTAATGTACCCATATCTTTTATATCAGCATAACTATTGTGGTTAGGGTTAAAAAACTTTTATTAAGTATGGTTGCATCCCAAAAAATCCTCTCATGAGCACCATTTTCTAACATGTGTCTCGTAACATTTATCCAACTTTCCATGTACACTGGGGTAAGTCATGCTGGTATAATAAAAGCAGAACAACCACTTCCATAAATCCTAGTTCTGTTTTCACAGCTTTACGCAGAGTCTCTTCTGACGCTGCAGTCTGGGACTTGGGCTATATAAAACCAGTCCTTCACAAATCTGAAAGCTCTTGGCTAACCATTGCTGAACTCTGAGCTACAGATGATAAAGTGGGACTGACACCCACAGGAGTCAAATGAGAGCCATTCCATGTTCACAGAATCATGGAATCAATTAGGTTGGAAAAGACCTCTGAGATCATCAAGGCCAACCTATGACCCAACACTTCTGTGTCAGCTAGACCATGACACTAAGTGCCATGTCCAGTCTTTCCTTAAACACCTCCAGAGACAGTGACTCCACCACCTCCACGGACAGAACATTCCAATGTCTAACCACCCTTTCTGTGAAGAAATTCCTCCTGATTTCCAACCTAAACCACTCCTGGCACAGCTTAAGACTCTGTAGTGTAGAGTGACAAGGTCACCCCTGAGTCTCCTTTTCTCCAGACTAAAGAACCCCAAGCTCCTAAGCCACTCCTCATACGATTTTTGCTCCAGAACCTTCACCAGCTTGGTTGCCCTTCTCTGGACGCGCTCAAGCACCCCAATGTCCTTCTTGTAGTGAGGGGCCACAGCCAGACTCGCTGTTTCATCCTCCGGCCCCAGCAAGGCAGTAGGACCCTGCAATGGGGCTGGGTCATGGGGAAACTGGAGGCTGCTCTCCCTCCTGTGCAAGCAGAACTGGCTATCACACTCCACCCGCACTCACTCACGAGGGTTCTAATAGAGAATCGATACACAAAGTTAAATAGGTGTTAGTATGGCTTTAATCCACTTCGCTAACAGCCTTCCCTGTCTCTTTCCCACTGCCGGCCGAGGTTCCTGGGCCTGCGGTGCCCTCTGCCGGGCTGCTCCAGTACGGATCCCCGGCTCCTCCCGGCGCTCCGACACCCGCCCTCCTACTGATATTTCCCTGGCTGCCCCTTTCCCCTGGTTGGGCTCCTCTGAGCGGGGTCACAGCCCAGCCCGTCGGCTCTGCCCACCCGTGCCAGCCCCGGTCTCTGGGCAGCATCACATCCCAGGGAGCGCTGCCGGGCGGGGGTTCCCCGGGGGCACCACCAGCCCCCAGCACTGGAGGGTAAATCACAGAATCAATCGGCTTGGAAAAGGTCTCTGACATCATCGAGTCCGAGTTACAACTGAACAACAGGATGCCAACTAGACCACAGCACTAAGTGCGATGTTCACTCTTTCTTAAACACCTCCAGGGACAGTGACTTGCAGTCCATTCCAAATGTTACCTTGGCCGAGGGGGCTGACCCGTTTGGAGTATTTTAATGCAAATCCTTTCATTGTAAGATACTAAACAAAGATCTAGAGCTGACACAGCAGAATGCCTTCATTATAAATAAATGTATATTTTCTACAGAAGAGAGGGGGAAATGGTACCAAACCTTAGCCAATAAGGTTCAATTTTTACTGCTGTCCCTTTTCTGAGGTCTGCAATCCTCATGACTAAAAAGAGAGTCCTGTAATTAGTCTCCTACTTCATCATTGACCTCAGAACAAGCTCTATTCCAAATACCTGAATTTTTAGACAGTCATGGTCTCAAAGAACTAAATAGGAAACTGTCTCACCCACCACACTACAGGAAATTCCACTCTTGAAGATACCCAAAATCCAACCAGACACAGCCTCAAACAGACAGCTTCAGACGACCCTGCTACAAGCAGAGGGTAGACAACCTCCAGAGGTGCTTTCCCACCTTGGTCATCCTGTGACCACACTACCAAGTTCTATGTGTGGGGCTTGGTTTTGATGTTTGGCAGTCAGAGAAAACGCCTTGAAATTCTTGTGTACAGAATTCCTTTTGGAGAGACAAGGTAAGCAAAATTGTCACATTTCTCCAAATTAAATGCAATCAAATATGTATACCTTTCGTAATTATAGCAGAAGCTTTTTTTCTCAAACTTGAACATTTCTCACCTTACAAAGCTCATCATTCTCTTCTCTAACAGGCAGGGAATTAATATTTGTGCAAGAGTCCGAGTCTGATATCTCTAGTAAGCTGTCATCTTTTTCTGATCCATCGCACTTATTGGTAGAATCACTATCGTTCTCCCAATCGATGAACTCCAATTCATCTAAAATAGAACATTGGTAAAAAGAGTTTTTTCTTAATCATCATCTATTAAAAGCATGAAGTCAAAGTAATAATACAGTTATCCTGAACTTGAAGCAAAAAATGCAATGTTTTTCTTTTTCCTGTGTTCAACTGATCTTCAACTACTTTGTCTCTCAAAAAATCCTACTAGAAGAAAATCTTCTGTGAAGAAAGATAAACATTACACACACAAAAATTACTTCAAAGCACTGTTTGGCAGTGCCTTTAGCTGCGCAGGTACATAGGGTGGTTTTTTTTAGTTTAGTTATTAGTTTTTCCATGGTTTAATTAGGGTACTTTTTTGCCCAGTTGTATTGTAGTTTCCAAGTGCTTTTTCAGAGTTAGTTAGCTGTTCTAAGCAAGTGCTTCAAAAAGTGTTAGTTAACATCTGCTGTTACTGGTAACCCTCAGAGAGGAATGGTAAAGCTAGTTGAAATGGTCACCTCCTAGAACACCATGCCTAAACATACAGGTCTGCAATTCAAACCTCTAAGCACACCAGAGAGAGGATTGCTTAGGATAAATTAATAGAAACAGGCACAAGAAAAGACAGAGTTTAAAAAAACAAAACAACAAACAAACCCACAACAAAATGGCAATAAACAAAGAGATGCAGATACAAATGCAGAACTTTTCTTCCACCATCCTCGTGACCAGGTGGTATTTAACGCAACTCCGAAAGTACACTTATACCTCTGAGGATCTACTGAAGGTTTCATGGAAACCTGAGCTGCAATAGCAGCCTCACCACTCTTCAGGTCCAAGTGCCACAAGGTACTGAGAGGGATAATCTCAATGCCCTTTTGTATAAACAAGCATGTTCAGAGGAGAAGGGATGAAAGCTTTTCTGGGTTTTGCTTTTGTAAATGTCATACTTCTAACACCAGAATAGTCACGTATAGGGAAGATGCAGCACCTGCAGAATACTCCAGACAGACATACATACCCCTGGAACTGTGGTAGTACCTTCTGGACTTGGTAGTGCAGTGCTATAGTCTAAGACACTAGTTTCTTTATTGAACTTCCTGAAGTCACCCACACAAATAAACATACAGATCTGGTGTTCCCTGCTTTGTCACACACACAAATGCACTTCTGTTTCTAATTATGAGAAAGTTTCATCAGCAATTTTAAACACAGACCCTGGTGACCAGGTAGCACAAAGAGGTTTCTCTTGAAGCTGTGTGACAAGTTGTGTGTAACTTGTGACAGCAGTATAAATCCTTAATAAAATACAAGACAACACGATTTATCTTGTCACACTGAAGCACTTCACATGAAAGGGAATGTCACTTTTAAAAATAACTTTTTCAGCTACTGTAGCCATTTCTACAACTATACCTATATATGCACACACACAGATTACACACTAATTACAGCACTTTACATACTCTATGATGGTTACTCCAAAAAGTGTAGAAATCTTTTACTCCCCATTGCTTTCAGGATATTTTTGGGTTTAGAAGAAAAACAGGAAATTACTGGATTTTCTCAGTACCTCCAAACAGATACACAATTCATCAGGGTTTCTTCAATTACACAGAGAAACTAAATTTTGCTACCTTACAAGATTAAAAATAAATCTGTGTATTGTCTCTTAAAAAAAAAAAACAACAAACAAACAAAAGAGAGAGAAAGATTAAAGCCTGCACTTTCATGGGACAAGTGTGACAGAATGATATTATAGCAGGTTAGAAAGATTCCTGGTCAGCAATAGATTACAGTTTAGAAAATGGACAGTCCTTCCATTTCAAGAAGAAGAAAATTACTAGGAATTATAAAAGACAACCTCAGATATGACAATGGCACTGTTAAAAGGGTGATAAAAATATGGATGAAAGGAGGAAGATTTTGCATTTTTGTTTTAAATATAAGGAGTATGTTTATCCAGAGTCACACACAGAAAGTATATCAGTCAATCCATTTGTTCAGCTCACAACGGTCTTTGAACACTTTGCCAGACATCCAGAATGTGAAATCTGGCTGTAATGCTTCACATCTAGCTGAAGTAATACAAAGTTAACGTGATTTATTTTTCACATTGAAAATACTTCCCAACAAGTTCTAATGCAACTTACATACTACCCTAATTAACACTTGTAATAATACAGCACACTAGATTTTTCTGTCTTCAGACACACTTTTTAATCAATTTCTCTCCTTTACTCTGCTCCTTTACTCCAAGGTTTAAAGTTTTTGTACATAATTTATAGCAAGATCTTATTCTATACCCAGATGAAATTTATGAAGAAAAACCCCTCCAACTGACCCAACCAAAACAGGATTAGATCATGTCATTTCTGTCAGAATGACCTCGGAGTATTCTCATTACAGCACTTGAAGTTGACAGAATGTTTCTTGATAAATCTGCTTGCATTTGAACTTACCTTCACTGCTTTTGTCCTCCAACAATAAATCATGTCTGCTAGGCAATTCCTCTGTTTTGGAAGTGTGATTTTTTTTGCTGTGCAACCTTGGAATCAATGTTTTATTTTCATTGTCTGAAAAATCACTGCCACTAGAGGTCCATATTATGTCCTCAGCTTCCCTAGAGCTTTCAGCAGCAGCATCAGCATCTATTAAAAAGTAAAGTGTTAGACTGTTACAGAAAGGAAGTTTTGTTAAATTTAAAATTATAAAAAATTAAACTATACTATTTTTAACAAGAGAAATTATCAACTCTCTGATGCTACAGGCATCAGAGATTAATACTGAAGCATCAACACACATATTTCTTACACATACATGCATTATTTTCCTTTTGGCTCTCCATAATAAATGGTAATACTTCATTTTATACAATGAGGCTATCACTCCGTCCTTCAGCAGAGTAAGGACAAGCATGACTATCTGACATTTAGTCCTCTACACACAGTCCTAATGCTCCCCCATATGTGCCCTTGTAAAATGGTAAGAGGTTTAAATAAAGACTGTCCTTAAAATTCTGTGTTTGGGATTTCTCTGATTTCATGCAACGAATAACAAACAAATAAAAGTATTTCACCAGTAGTATTTCACTCAGTTTTCTCCTGTGGGGAAAAAAATAGAAAAGTCCAACTTTTCAGGAGTTGTAAAGAAAAGTTGTTGGGTTTTTGAAGTAATACATTTTAATTCAAAATACCTTTCTCCATCATTTTAATAACAAAAACAAGGAAAAGAGGCTTCATGCTTAGCATAAAGCATACAAACTAGTAATCATAGGAAGGCAGAACTTTCCACTTCTTACCACTACTGAAACTTCATACGTAAATGGGAAGCTAGACAATTACTGGGGATTTGGAATTTAGCAGAAGGGCCTAGAGGAAACACAACCACATCTCCTCCTGCAACACACAGAGGTTCTTCTCAGAAATCTGGAAAAGTTAGAACCCCAAAAGATAGACAGAAAGTGCCCAGTAGGTCACCTACTTAGGTCCAACAGAAACAGTACAGCTGCTAGAGCAAACGGAAATAGAGACTGAAGAAGCCACTACCCCCTCCTTCTTTCCTTTCCTCCAGACTCAAGAAAGGAAAGAACTGGAAAGAATTGATAAGTCCTCCTCCTCTTTATTTTGCCTAGAGTTCTTTTTTTTCTAATTACAATATTAAATGTCTCAGGTGCATACAGAAGACTGCAAAAGCAGGAGGTTGATAAAATTCTGTTTTTCTACCTATTACTCATATTTACAAAATGCATATTATCTCTCATGCCTGCTTGTCTGTCTCTAGCAGAAAACAGAATAATTTCACCCTCAGTCTATATAGCTAAGGGTTATTTTTCATTCTCTCCTGTTAAAAATGTAAAGAACTTAAATACCCTGTCCTTGTTATAACCACATACAGTATTAGTGATGCCTCTCTCCCCGTGTTCAAGAGCAATAGCTGAGTGACTGCAGCTCTGCAGAATATATTTGGCACTCTAGGTGAAGAGAAGAGCCCAACAGCAACAGCAAGAGACTGTGTGTCTTATAAAAATTAGCTTTTGATAACAGAAGAAGAAAGCAACCAGTATTTTAAGCCAACTTCTACCTTAATAAAGGAATGAAACAAAGTGACAATCTTCTGACAACGCTAACATGAAATAATTATAACATACTTGCTGCACTTTCAGCAGATGTTAACAGTGGTCCAAGATGCTTCTTCATCCTGGATTTCTTATTAGTAGGTCTCTGGTGCTATATTAAAAGGAAACAAAGGGAGAGATTTAATCACTAAGACATTAAAAATAATTTCAACGTATCAATATATTCAAAGTTGTTGTTATTCACCCACCAAAGCTCAGCAGCACAATTTCAAACAATTTTTCTATCTTCTACTAGACTGTGATATAATGACTGGGATATCAAAGCATGGGAACAGTAACATAAAAGCTGAATTTTCATAGATTTGGAACATACAAACTTACTGTGACAGACAGAAATCATATGTAACCTTGAGAACAAGAGCCAGTATTTTCAGCATTAAAATGTCAGAAGTGGGTAGTAACAGCATGCTTGACAAAGCATGCGCCCTATTCAAAGGTTACAGGAAGAAGTACTTGGTTACCCTGTCACTGGTTTTCACTAAATCCCACAAGCTATGCAACAGTGTGACTGCTCAATACCAGAAAAAAGAAACAGAAAAGTAACTTGGTTCATAATGATTTTCAGCACAAAACACTTCTCACTCAGAGCTGGCTGAACATCTCTGCTCATGATCAACAAGACCAACACACGCACAAGAAGTTAAACACAATTTGATATATTATCCAAGAGAGCACCAAGATCCACATCTGCAGGGTCATCAAAAAGCAGGATTTTCTACAGTGAATTCACTACTGCAAACACATTATTTAGATCTAGCAAAAAACATTCAGATGCAAAGTACAGTCTTTTTGTTACACATTTTTTAGGAAATATAGCAGTCCATCTCAAATGTCGAATTACTTTTGCATTCATCAGTGTATTATTGAAATTTTCTAAGTGATAAGTGCTATTTAGAACATAAGGTATTAACATATGCTCAGCAACTTACACTAACAAGATAAGACAATGTCCTTATATAACTGTACTTTCCATTTTTCTGTCTATTTTGACAGTTGTAACAATATGCTGTTAATTTGGAAATAACAAAAAAAAAAAAAAAGGCAACATCTTATTATTCAGTCAAGCATGGAAACTAACTGCCAGTTTGCATTTCTTTCTTACACCATTATGTCAGCATTTTACCTCCAGCACTGAAGTGCTCTGAAAACCATCCCCACACCTAAGCCACGCATTGGAAATCGAAGTAGCAGCCAGTGATGTCCTGACATTTGACTTTTTCGGACATAGGGGTGTCTCATCTGGGAAGGGTGTGCATTCTGCATTCCAAAATCTCTTCCGCTACAAGGAAAAGCAAATCTATTAAAAACACTGTGTACACATGATTCTTTTCAAGTTAAATTTACTGAATTAAGATTGCCCACAGTATTTTCTGAATATTTATAAGCATAAACTCTGATTTTTAATGAGCTGGAGGTGGGGGGGAAGTCTAAAACATTTGCAACTATTTTTCACGCAACGCTAAGTAACAACACCACTACCAATGTCATGGGTAAATTTAATTTTTGATTAGTACACTTTCTTTTGATCTAAGCTACATCTAGTAGTATTTGATAGTTGCTCAGTGAAGCTAAAAATATTACATAAAACAGGAGCAGCTCAGTAAAGTACACTTTAAGGAAGTAATTCCTTCAAACTCACATTTAATTTGGTCTAATTCTGTTTATGCAGCAGGTCAAACTAGATATCCCTATACAGTTCTCCATTAAAAAAAATAACCAAACAAAAAACATCCAAACTTCTTTAGCTGTAAGAATTAGATTTGTTTTGATAACCATTATGCCCCCCCTAAAAAGTAGATGATCTGTTGCCTTCCCCTTCCAAAGGGTGCTGGAAGTCATTTGGATTATTACTGAAGTCATGAAATACGATTCTGTTTAGCATCCAGTGCTAAATTAATGCAACAGATTGTAACATCTGAAATTAGCTAAAGATGAGAGAATTGCCTATTACCACATCCAAAGCTCTCTCTCAGATTCGACAAAGTTTACACATAAAAATGAACTTGAGCACAATAAACAACTTAGCCTGCTATGCTACTGAAAATTATCTCACAAAATGTTGACTATATTATCTGCCTGAATACATCTGTCTTCTTCTGATATACTTTCTCTCAAGTAACAACAGTTCCTACCTATTAAAATAGTATTACTCCAAAGTTAATTTAATCAGTACACACATTTTCAGCCAGACTGGTCAATCAGGATTGTAACATATACATTTGTATTGGGTTTCTGTGGCTGGGTTTTGGTAGCAGAGGGGGGGGGGGGGGCTACAGGGGTGGCTTCTGCCAGAATCTGCTAGAAGCTTCCCCCATGTCTGGTGAGGCCAATGCCAGCTCCAGGACAGACCTGCCACTGGCCAAGACCAAGCCAACCAGGAATGACAGTAACTGAGCAGATGGAAATTGCAGCCAGAGAGGAGCGGAGTGAGAACATGTGAAAAACAATGTAGACACCAAGGTCAGTGCAGAAGGAGGGGCAGGAGGTGCTCCAGGTGCTGGACCATGGTGGAGCTGCTGTGCCCCTGCAGATGGATGCCTGAAGGAGGCTGTGACCCCAAGGGAGGCCCATGATGGAGCAGGGTCCTGGCAGGGACCTGCTGAGCTGTGTGGAGAGGAGCCCACACTGGAGCAGGTTTTCCTGGTAGGAGTTGTGGCCCTGTAGGGTCACACGTTGGAGCAGCCTGTGCCTGAAGGACTGCATCCCATGGAAAAGTGACCCACAGGGACAGCAGTTTCATGAAGAACTGTTGCCCGTGGGATGGACTCACACTGGAAAGGTCCATCAAGGACTGTCTTCCATGGGAGGGACCCCACAGGAAGCAGGGAAAGGACTCCTCTCCCTGAGCAGCAGCAGAAACAACAACTGACTGTAACCCCTATTCCCATCTCCCTGCACTGCTGGCAAGAAGCAGGTAGAACTTGGAAGGAGGGAGGGGTGGGGGGAAGGTGTTTTTAAGATTATTTTATTTCTCACTCTTCTGCTCTGATTCTGTAAGTAATAAATTTAATTAATATCCCTACTTTGAGTCTGTTTTGCCTGTGATGGTCATCACTTTCCCCGCTCTTATCTCAACTCATGAATCCTTTGTTCTATTTTTTCTCCTCTGTCCAGTTGCAGAGGGGAGTAAGACAGTGGCTTTAGTGGGTACCTGGCATCCAGCAAGGGTCAACCCACTACAATGTCAAACTAACATACCCACACAAAAAATAACATTAAAAAAAAAAAACACAGAATCATAGAATATCCTGAGTTGGAAGGGACCCTCAAGAATCATCGAAATCCATCTCCTGGCCCTGCACAGTACAGCCCCAAGAAGCACACCAGATGCCTGAGAGCACTTTCCATTCATTTTGTAACTGGCAATGCATATTTGTTTTCCACAGAATTATTCACAGAATAAAACAAGTACAGTGAACAGCATCCCTGATGATACAGTCCTTCTGTCTCATGGTAAGAAGACAGAGTAAAATAAATGGGCTTTGCAGTTTCCTCTGATGGTAACTGACCTTGCTGAAAGTCTTTTCTAAAACTGCTGGGAGCATTTACACTGCAAAGCAGATACTACAAGAGGTCATTGTCACCAAAGTCAAACTGTCCCCATAACTACTCCCACAGATATATGAGAAGTACAACGTTGAATCTGATGTGGTATTAAATATAGAATCAACAGCATTTTAGGGACATTAAGCAGGCTACAGCACTGACACAAAGAGAATTTAAGCCCTGCCTTCTTCCCAGTGAAGATGCTGGCCCAAGCCTCGATTTCCAGAGTGCTTAGACATGAACCTCTACACTGGGCTGTCCCCTCAGTAAATACTTCTGCCTTTGCACTGAAGAAAGCATGGACAGGGCAAATATTAACAACTGAAACAAATCAAGGTCCAGTTTTTGGTTCTACTGCAAAATGTCACAGCAAAGCCTCACTCCAGTTGGAGTCAATTCCTTGACTTCCATGACCCCAGACTAGATGACATCTGCCAGGCTCAGAGTTAACAGTACAGCCAGCAAGGGCAACATGGTTCAACACCACATTGTGGCCCTAGTTTTGAGTTGGTTGGTATTTTGGCTTTGGGGCTTTTTTTTTGTTGTTGTTGATTGGTTTTTAACCTTAGGCAGTCCTGGAAGTCTTGCCTATATGCCTGTTTTTGTAGCTCTTAGAAGACTGTATGTATGTATGGGTGCGTGTATACACATACAAACACACAACAAGTTTTTTTTCAAAGGAAAAGTATGCCATGTACAAAGTGCATCACTTCAACATGCATGAATTAATGTTTACGTGAAGATATAAGTGGAAAGTACACAAATGTATTTTTATTAAAAACCTGCAACATGAAAATTGTGTGTAATAAAAAGGAGGTACAGATGTCCAGAGAAGAGCAACGAGGCTGGTGAAGGGACTTGAGCACAAGTCCTATGAGGAGAGGCTGAGGGAGCTGGGGTTGTTTAGCCTGGAGAAGAGGAGGCTTAGAGGTGACCTCATCACTCTCTACAACTCCCTGAGAGGAGGTTGTAGCCAGGTGGGGGTCAGTCTCTTCTCCCAGGCAATCAGCAGTAGGACAAGAGGGCACGGGCTTCAGCTCTGCCAGGGGAGGTTTAGGTTGGATATTAGAAAGAAATTCTTTACAGAGAGAGTGATCAGGCATTGGAATGGCCTGCCCAGAGAGGTGGTGGATTCACCGTCCCTGGAGGTTTTTAAGCTGAGGCTGGATGTGGCACTGAGTGCCATGATCTGGTAATCCCAGTGGGGTTGGATCAAGGGTTGGACTTGATGATCTCGGAGGTCTCTTCCAGTTAATTCTATGATGCTATGATTCTATATAGGTAGCTACAAGGATTCAAGACACGTGATTCAGAAGAAAAATTCCCAGGGACACAGTGACACCAGAGAGTTCTGCCTGGATGAAGCCTACAATGCAACGAATAGAAGGAAAACGCAGTGACTATACTTTGCACACGCTGCTGGTGTCACCATGGTTCAAACCACAAATGCATTAAAATTTAAAATTACCATGCATGGTAACAGGGTGGCCAAGGCAGTGCAGTCACAGGCCTGGGAGCAGGTGCAAGGGAGCTGGGAGCAGCCCTGGGGGGCCTCTGTTTGGCTCTTTGCCTTTGGGCAAGGTGGGACAGTGCCCATGTTCAGGAGGGCACTGTCTCCCTTCCTCTGCCACCTTGGCACAGAGGTCTGGCATCCAAGGACTTTTGCCACAGCAATACACGAGACGGCATGCAGAAATGGCAAGTTTTAAAGGCTCTTGGCTTATGCCCCAGCCAGCTTCAAGGTAACAGAGAAACTAGTATTTTAAGAAACTTTACTTCTCAGGAGTAAATATTTGTAATGAAGCTAATCTGAAGGCTGTGCTGCTCCCAAAGACATGCAGCAACAACAGTGAATTATCTTAATCTTGAGTCACAAGGTTAATTATCTTTTTCCTCTGGAATAAAAATAAGGCAAACAAAAAAATAACTTGTGTAATTTATGAAAGGCATGCATGAAGTGTCTTGAAACAAGATATTGGTATTAAAAAACCATCACTGAATCAGGCTCAAAAGAGCTAGAGCATGTAGACACAGCATACACCATAAAATTAAGATTTATTACAAAAAAGTCAGGCAAAGAACCTTGTGAATTGAGTAGGATGTCAGAAGACAAAATATGACCTCTGAAATTTTGAGTTAAAAAGGGAAAGGCTAGGATGGCTACCTCATATAGAAATTGTCTGTTGATCTATGATCACAAAATCATGGCATTTTGTCTCTGGAACAGTTCCTTCTAAAAGAATAGAAAAAAAGACTAATTATGCCAGTTGGTGTCAGCAGAATTAGGATCGAGTCCTCCTCAAAAAAAAGGCATGGCAAGCAAACCTTCCCCCATTACTCCTTCAGTTATTTCCAGTGAGATAAAAGTAAGTCAGCCTACAAGGGTTCAGGTGTGAGAAAAAAAGAGAGGCGTGCTCTGAAAAAACTATAAATATACATAGTGATTACACAACTGACTACTAAAAGTATGGGACAGGTGGACTGGATTTGATTTTTAAATAGAAGTTCCTATCTAGAACATCTACACTCAACCAATCTGTATAGTTACTTATACCAAACACTTGTTACCTAGAAGTACCCTATATGAAGTCACTGGGACCATATGCTCAAACCCTTTACACTCCAGACAATCCTATTTTCTTGGGGCTGCTCCAAAAACCACGAGAAGAACCCCCAGGAACACAAGACCCAATATATTATCTCCCTCATATGCAAGTGGCATTTCTTGATGCTTCACCTTCTCTAACACAAAAAGCAAGACAAGCCGAAGGACAAAAATAAAATATTTCACTGCATGAACTCCTGCTAATGGCATGCAAATCTAAACAGTTAATCATGCCACCTAAGCATCACTCAAAAGTATTCAAATACAACTATTGTAATCTTCCTGAACAGAGCAGAATGAAAAAGTACTGAAAAAAATCACAGCTCTAGTTTCCAGAGACTTTTTTGAGTTTTTTCAAAAAAATCTTTAAAGGGAACAATTGCATCAAAGTACACAGAAAGAAATATCAAACACTGAGTAACAGCCATCCTCATCTTTTGCCTTTATCCTCATAGACTTCACATAAAAGTACTCATAAACTAAAAGCAAGGAGTCTTAGCCTTCAAAAGACCAACTTTAAGAAAGAACAAAACTGAATTTGACAATAGGCATTTCATTTTCAACAAAACTCAGTAGTCATGCTATAGAGCTCCTGAAAGCGTAATTACTGGTTTTAGTGCCCAGATAGAAAATGAAATTTTAATTTAATAAGAAAACATCCTTGAACTTTAAACTCTCAAACGAGGATTTAAATAAAGGTTACACACTTAAAGCCATACTCTGTATTTTTTTTCCACCCAAGGTTATTTTTTCATTCCTATGTAAACCAGCATGCTTATTTTCCAAAGATGATTTGCAAGAACACAAATGATCCCTAGACAGGTCTGCATCAAGTTGTAATCTCTCATGAAAAAAATCTAGATTGTATGATCACAGTCAATGACAGCGACGATGACCTGTCTCCTTCCCCACTGTCAGCATGACAGGAAAGAAAAGAAATATTAAAACTAAATTAAAATCTCACAATTCCCATTGCTATAGATGCGAGACCAAAATTTTTAAAACACTGTTTCAAAGCCTTTCTTTGTGTGTATTTTTACTACTCTTAATGAAAGACTGTTATCACTGACTGACATACATAGGTATATATAAGATCGCCATTTGAATATTGGGACTTTTTAACCTATTCATCCTTTCTTAAGCAAAAATATAAATCATTATAGGCTTACATTGAAAAAAACCTCTTATGGAATAAGAATGCTATTGAAGTGGTACTTTGTATTAATAACTGGTGCCAAGTAGTTAGAGAGAAATCTGCAGTCTATCAAAATAGTTAAAACAGAGGTATTTTAGAAAAGTTTTAACAAAATGTATTGTATCTTAAACATTTTGGATAACTAACGGTAGCTTTTTGTTATGTATCGGGTTGAATTCTTCTTAATCAGTTTAATTAATAGTCAGCAAGTGGGCAGGACTGTTCTACTTTCATTTGACCAGTGAAAAAAGTTATAAAGTAACGAGGAACGTTATCTTTGTCTGCAAAAGAAACTACTAAGTGTTGGTTAAATATTGGTAGTTGAAGCATGCAGCTTTTCACTACTCAAGGACTTAAAACCTTTCAGAAAAAAAAGTGTATAGTGTCAGTATTGCAAGGCGATTTAAATGAAATACAGTAGGTTATTTTTAAGCTTGCTGTTGACATTTTCTTCCACTACAATTTACTTTAAATGGGGTTATATTTAAAAATCCGTTGAATATTGGCATCATTTTAAACAAAATGCTTCAAGAACCAGATCTGTCATTTGACTTCTAATTGTATTTATATATCCAAAACCGACACTTGTAGTCTGCCTTTCAGCAGCGCCTCAACATTAGCACAAGCATGGAAAATCAGAGACAGCACATCCTGATTGCCATCCCGCGGGGATCATCCAGTGCACCGAGCAAACTACCAAAGAAAAGAGACCGAAAAACAGCACGGGGCGCTTCTCCTCCCTCCACTCCCAACTCCCACTCGGAGAAGCGAAGCTGCTCAAAACAATATTAATTCTGGCAACTCTTGACAAATCTCTTTTCCTGTTACAGTTTTCCTCTCCCTGCACTTCTTTCCTGGCTGCCGTCTACAAGGAGGCTGAGCCCCGCTCTCCCGCCGGAGCAGCTGTGCGAGGATGGATCGCACCGCCAGCGTTGCGCAACCGCGCACACCAGGGACGCGGGGAAGGACCGCGTTCCCGCCCCCTGCTCCAGCGCGGCGGGCCGCCAGCACCGCTATCGCCTTGGAACCGGACCGGAGAGGGCAGCGGGGCGGAAACGGTTCCTCCACCACCACCACCAGCACCACCCACTCCCGCGCCCCCTGCCCCGGGGCCGGGAGGGGAGGCCACAAGGACCTGGCACAAGGGCCGCCAGGGCTCGGCCCTGAGCGGCGGCCAAGGCGGTGCTCCCCGGTCCGCCCCATCCCGTCCCGGCAGAGCCCCTTCGACTCCCATCCCGCTGCCACCGGTACCTTCCCGCCGGGCATCGCCCCGGCGCGGCGGCCGCGGACCCTGTCACGTGGCGGGGGGAGCCCCGGGGGCGGGGCCGAGGGAACCCCCGGCGCGCGCCTGCCCCTTGCAGCTTTGGCGCCGCCGCAGCCTCGGCTCCTGATTGGGCGGAGTGCGGGTGACGTAGGAGAAGGGAGGGGTTTCCCGGGAGGGGAGGGGAGGGTCGCGGTGCGCGCGCGGGGGGGGGCGGTGTCTGTTGTTGTCGCGGTCCCGCCCAGGGAGCCGACGTGGTTTTCCCGGCGGGAAATCCCATTGCTGGCACCGTGTCCTTCTTCCCTTCCCCCGTCCGGCTGCCCCGAGGTTTCATGCGGAGCCGGGCATGCGGGGAGCGACGGGATGCTGCAGCCTCCGGGATCGTCTGTGCCTCTGCCCAGGGCAGGGGCTGAGTTGGCCGCGCTGGTTTGTGAGGGGATGGTGTGGAAACCGCGTCTGAGCTGTGTTTATTGTAGAAGGAGTTCACGAGCCACACTAGACACTTTATGAAAAATACTTTCACTGTTAAGCCGTTACTGTAAGATAATTCCCTGAACAAAAAGTAAGCCAGTGAATGTAATGCCAGTGCCAAGGTGTAGAGACGTGGAATCGAAACTGCTTTGTAAGGAGGTTCTCTTCCATAAAATAATAGCTGCAGCTAACTGAAGGAAAAAAGGCTGATCACCTTTACAAATGTTTTTCTGGTGCGAGAGGAAACACTGGCAGAAAGGTTATTTTTGTACTGCTTTTTGTATGTTCTTCAGAAGGTCGTTTAGGCTGCCAGTGCTGCCAGTGCTTTATTATTAACACAGTTAATAATAAACAGTCTTTTGTAAAATGAGGTAGTCTATCTTCTAGCTTAATTAGAATTCATAAAGCACATTTTGGTAGAAAGTGCTGCATGACTTCATTTATATTATTAAACACTAATTACATATATCTGTCTATAGTTTACAGTTTGTATTTTTTCCAAAGCACTCTGTGGCCAATACCTGTCTTGCGTTCCCTTTATAAAACTGCCACTAATTAAAGTGGATTTTGCAAACAGAAGAGCCAGGAACACCATCATCCAAGCCCCATACTGCCTTTGATTGTTATGTTCAAAACAGAGTTAAAAGCACTTGTGTTCTCATCCTTCCAAAAATTTGCAGTATTTCTTCTGAAATTGCCAGACTGACAAATGAATTCTATTATATATCATCAAAGTGGTTTTCTTTGATATTTTAAAAAATTATGTTATTGCACTATTCATCTAAACAGTTTGTGTTAGAACTATACCACAGAGAAATACAGGGACCACAGAAGTCTGGTCTGCTTAGTGAATCTGTATTTTTTTCTGTTCATGAACTGCTTCTGAGGATTCCAAGGTGCTCACACCTGAAAGGAACTTACTTCTATAGAATCCCAAGAAGATGACCCAATCAATAGATTTCTTTTATTTATTTTCATGTTCTTCAGAAAGAAGTACTGAAATTACATGGAAATAGAGGAAACATGTGAGAAAAGAACCCTTTATATTAGGAATTAAAATAGAGCTGTGACTTTTTTGAAATAGTTCTGCTGTGAAGACAGAATAGTAGATGCTGAGTTTCTTGACAGAAGTTTAAGTTTCACAATACCAGTACATTATTCTTCAAGCCTGTTAAAAATTTCTGTGCATAATACTTTCAGAAGTCATAATTAACACAATTGGCTATGTAATTTTTGGAGAACTGTTTTTTCATCTACATATACAAGAAGATCCATGTTCTCATAGGCTTAAATAATAGTTTGAGTCCACTGTTTTATCTGATATACTGATTAACTGTGTCTGTGCTCAAGATCAAATCTACTGCTGCTCAGGAAATGTTGAGAAATTGTATACTTTTAGAATTTTTGTTGCGTGAAAATTCTATGAAAAATATAAAATTCCTGTTAACAATAAAAATTAATTTCCTTACTGAAGTCCAGGAAAAAAGCATTTGTTTGTCAGTGATGCTGTTGATTGTATTGATGTTTCTTAATCCACATATAGAAAGAACCTGTTCAAAGAAACAAAATATATTTTATACAAAGGAATCAAACTATAAGAAAGCTTCAATTAATGAAATTTGGAGCACTTGTTTATATTGATTGAATGTGCCTGTCCTTCAGCATTTATGGATTCATTTCCTCTTGCAGAGCATTAAGTTGGAGCTTTCAAAGCTTCCTAGTGTATATAGCCTGGTAGGGACAATGACAAATTCAAACAGGCTTTTGATGTGTGTCATTTCCTCAGTAAAGTTTTAAAAGTCACAGGCATCCCAGCCACTGAACTGGGATGAGATAGATGAGGAAAAACTCATCAAGTATTTTAGAGTTTTTCTTTCAGAGTCAGCTGGATTTTTATGAGTCTGTCAGGCAGGAGGTGATCCAAGGCCCAGGCTAAATCCCAGATAGATCCCAGTCTAGATCCAAAGTAATATTTTCCTCTGAAGTCTGTGCTGCAGTTTAATCATTCCAAGCTCTCTAAGGTTTTCTAGGAAACAACATGAAACACTTCAGACTTTTTAATCCTCAAGCTGCAGTGTCATTTCAACTATACATTAAATTGTATCATTTCACAGTACAATGCATCACTATGCTGAGGCAAGCTGTTAACTGTGGAAGAAATGGAAATAAAAAACAACATAAAAACCCTCAGGGGATGCCAGATTGCAGTGAATCAAACAGAATCAAGTTTTACATTCACGCAAATTAAAAATTAATAGCTGACCATTTAAGAATCAAAAGCAAAAATAGGTTTTAAGTGAATCGACATACCCAGGAAGCATCTCTTTACCAGCCCTTGCCCCTGGGTCATGAAGACATGAGGGGCTCCAGCCTCTGGGGTGTCCTGGCTGCCAGCTGGCACAGGATGACTGCATACTGGGCCTAAGCCGGGTCATCTCAACATCCCAGCACCAAGCACTGCCTATGACACTTTTAGGTCTTCTCTTGCTATTTCCCCGTGTCAGTGCTATAAAAGGAATATGAGTACATAACTTTCTGACAGATGGTAACATTTGTGAAACGTATTTGCCTACTTTTTATAAGATGTCTCTGTAGTAATGAGGTAAGTGCAAATAAAATACGCTTTTTCCAACCTGAAACCGAACATCTATCATCAAAGTACTCTCTTTTGGCTCTAACTGGTGAGAAAAAATGCAGGCATATATTCAGAGCTGGAAAAAAGTGCCATATTTTAAATTTCAATTGTTAGATGAGTTTGCTCCCTGTTAATTTAATTCAACAAGATTTTAAAATTACTGAGATACTGATAATACTGCACTTTCTATATTGTAGTAACTTAAGATACTGAATTTCCTCTTTTAGGTCCAGTATTAACATTTCTTTAGCATAATTGGTTTTATTGTGACTAAAATGTACCCTTGCACTGAAGACTGTTCCTGAAAAACCTAAGCAATGCCTTGCCCAAGGAAGAAGTTAGTTAAAAAATGGATGTGCTCTGCTGAATGTCTGCAGTCAAGAAGATCTTCTCAGTTTGAGAAGTTCGTGTTAAGCATCACTAAGCACAGGCTATCTATACTGCTGAGGGAAACAAGGCTGATTGGCATGGATTCACGTGCATCCATACAGGGGCTAGCTGGTCCACAGAAGCCTGAAGGGAGCTGATGTAATTGAAAGCAGAGCTGGGAAGAAGGTAAACATTTAAGCAGTGTGGACGGCTGGGTCCAGTGCTCAGCAAGCTTTCCCCTTAGCAAACTGGAGGGAACCAGAGCACAGGCTTGAGTACACACTCTCCTGTGACTGTCCTTGCTCCCTGACCCAGACTCCCTGGCCTGGATCAGGCCCACACGCTGCTGAGGGAACGGCTAAGGAGCAAGTTACTGTGCATCAGTGTAGAAACACTTGGTGCTGTTGAGCAAGGTAACAGCTTTGGCTCAATCTATTTTGGCACATGTTCTTTTCAGAACAAATGACTTTTCCTTTCCAGGTAGGAAATGGATAGACATCATGAGAATTCTCATACAGACTGCATCTGCTGGGAACATGGGAGCCTGGACCTGCCCAAAATCACCTGTCCCCTCTGGCATCCAGACACAGCTGGTTTCCAACAATACTTGGCAGATCTCGTCCCTCAGCTGTGTGATTCTCCACACCACAGTATCCATGGTTTGTAACCAACTCTAGCATCACTCTAAATACAGAATTTGGGGACTGGACCTGGTGCTATGTCCCGGCCATATGCCACGAATCTGTAGAATGTCTCACTGATAAGTGCCCACTAACGTGGTGGTTGTTTCCCCTGCATGAGCCCCAGCACGCCAGGCATGCTCTGGAACAAAGGCAGAGAGAGGACTGTGGTAAGCAGCAGTGGCTCACTGCGTTTGTATTGTTTGCAAGCCCTGCAAGAGCTAACAAGCTATGATCTGTTTACACTACTTGTTGCATTTGTTTTCTATCCATTAGCCACATTCTGGACATATTCTGAAATTCACCAAATGTTTTTTGAAAACTTTTCTTGGTGTAGCAAATATAGTTCTCATTCAAACCAGATTGGAGGTCATCTTTAATGTCCTTTAGTGAACTGCCAGCAGGAGTCTGCCTTTGTGGAGCTTATCCACCCATGGGCAGACCGAAACTGCAAATGAGCAACTGGCTTTGGAACTGATACAGCTTAGCATTCAGTGTTGTGTTAGTAGGTTAAATAGCCATGAGTATTAAATAAGGCTAAGAGACAAAGAAAGCCTGGAAATTAAACTGAGCCTCTAAACTGATTCTAGTCACTGTCTTCTTTTACAGTATAGTCATCCTGAACATTTATAGATTTCTGCTAGCCCATGCAGGGAGGGGGAGGGAAGCACTGCCTGAGTCATGTCACACATTCTAGGGGAAACTGCAGTGTCCCACAGTGCTCCCTCTTTACCTCCCACTACATTAGTCTTTTCTTCTACTATTTCGGCAGCTATCCATTCTGAGTTTTCTCTTCCCATTATTTCTCCCTGCTTTTTTTTTTACTTCTTGATATAGGCAGGAATGTCCTATTAGATGCCTCCTAGATAGAGGGTATTGCATAGCAGGCAGCTTTAAGGTGGAGAATAAACAAGACACAATAAATTATTAAAAGCCAAAGTTGCCATAGTAGGCGGGCTTCCCTATGCGAGAAACTCCATCATTATTAATTTATTAATATAACTTGTAACAGAGAGACAAACTGAAACCCAAGGATTTATTCTGAGTCATCCTGAGCCCTTATCTCTTTGCCTATCATTTTGATGGATACAGAATACAACTCGCCTTAATATTTGGTTTCTTTCTTAAAAAAAGTGCCATTAATATCCGTGGAACAGCTATTCTTTTTAACTTTTTCTTGCATATACCAGTGGTACAATATGCACACTCTTTCAAAATAATAACTCGTTTTCCTCTCAGTACTACATGTAATTAGTAAGCAGCACTGAAGACCTGAGAATTCCCTGGCTGATTTCACTGAATTCAAATCCGGTCTTGAGTTATTTCCCCCTGAGCTGCCAAAAGCCATGTTTGGGTCATTTACTTAGTGAAGTCTGACCTGTCACAAATGTCCCAGCCACAGTTGTTAAAAAAAACTTAAACTTTTTCTATAGTGAAGGTTAGCTGTGCTCATCTTATCCACTCTCAAGCTCATGAAATGGAAGTTTGTTCAGGTAATAATACTCATGTACCAGTTACAGCTCCTCCTTACTCAGGCTACAACTCACTAATTTTCCAGAAAAGATAGAAGGTAATGTACTACAGCACTAAGACTGCTTTCACTGCTCTTCCCACAATCCTGCATGTAGGACAGATGGACACCTTGGATCACAGCTCAAACAATTGTCCAGAAAAGAACCCTTAGTCATGTCAGATCAAAAAATGTAACCGTAGCATATACATATACATAATATACAGCTCAGATTAAAAAAAAAATCCATATAATATACATATAAATAATATATATATAAAATTATACATGGGTATACATGGAGACAGTGAGAACATCAGGTGAAGCAGTAAAGCATGTGGCTGTGGGCTTTATTCACACCCAGGCTTGGCTACCCTGCATGCTTGATCTTAAGGGCCAACCGTTTGTATGAATCATGGTGCCTAAATCAAGGAAGTTTCTTAAATCATCTAGCTAGCACATCAGTGTAATTTCTACACTATTCTCAAGCCTCACGTTTCCTGTATCATAGCTGTGATGTTTCATACTCAGTCACCAGTCTGTTTCCTTCTCTTCAGTATAGGTTACCTAACGCTGAGTCCTTTGATGTGCGCATTGGCAGAGACAGAACATGCTGAGATACGAGTTCATGAAACTGCATTTTTACATGTAAGCAGTCTTTTACATTCTCTGGTTAGTGGAGGGGTTTTTAGTTTGTTTGGGTTTTTTTTAAGTGTTCCATTTATCTCCAAAATAGTTTTCAGAGAATAGGAAATAAAACTTCTATTCTGTATTTGCTGTATCTATGTCTTCTGTATCTGCATATTTTTGACATAAATACAGAGACAAAAAATACTTTCCAACCTTCTACCTTTCAGAAAAACAAGCACGTTTTCTCCTACTGTCCATCACACTCCTAATAGTTGTTCAGACAAATTTCTACTTTCATGTTTGAGGCTTATAAGGGTTAGAGTTAAGAAATGAAAGCGGTAACTACAAAATGGTTTGGCCAGTTTTACTAACTTACTTGCATAAAAAAACTGCACTGAGTACAGTAGAGGTTGCGAGTCTTTTCTTATATACCCTTGTAGATTAACTCAATAGCATAACACAGCTTAAAACCATGATAACAACAATGAAGGGGATCCAGGGTATGAACACTAATTAAAATTAGAGTCAGTTCATGAAAAATATAAGCTCTATATACTTCAGATTTCCTAACTGGAATCAAGCTTTAACTCAGTAACTTGAAGCTGAGTGTTAAAGTTCTGGGTTATTTTCAAGAGCAGAAGTTTAACTGCTGCTGCTGGAAGCAGAATGTAGGTGTAAGCACATCTCAAGTGATTAATGTGTAATTAATAATGCAGAACAAGAACCATTGTATACAGTTTGCACTTAACGATTATAACTTATATAATCCCTATCCAACCTGCACAGTTTGTAAAATAACACTGACTCTCACAATGCTTTAGGTGCCTGGAAGACCTTGTGTGGTGCAAGTAATGGATTTTAATTGATTTCCTTTCTGGATAGATTCCAATTGGTCAATAAGATCTTGGAACCTGATGTGTATGATTTCAACTCTTCCTCCAGCAGTGTACAGAGAAGGTAACACAAAGTGTCATGCCATATGCTTAAATTCATTTGCAGCTGGAAACATCTCTCCTGATGTTTTCCAGTCTTTTTTTGCCTACATCAGTGCTTCTCCTTCTTAGAAATCAGGAGGTGCAGAGTGCACTTCTGATGGATGTGGTGTGATAGGCTCCAATGCAGGTGCAATAAAGAGATACAAGAGGCAGATTATTGCTGGAAAGGAAAGAAATGCCAACAAAAACCTTAATCTCCAGTGTTACATGTTTCTGAAACACGTTACTTAAACAGCATTCTTTTGTGTAGCGTCTTCACAGGCACATCTTCGCTCACGTTATAAATATCCCATCTTTAATAGACCTGTAACCAGAAAAATAGCTTGGAGATGATACTGCAACGTTATTTGCGTTGCTGCTCGCGGTGCCCACGGGAGGCTGCTGCGGGCTGTCCCCGGTACCGAGTTCCGTGCAGAAATTACAGGTGTGGAACACACGCTATTGGCACCGAGGCCAGGGGAGCGCCCTGGGGCCGCGGCGAAACGCCTGCTCCCATGGGAGACGCCCGGGCAAAGCCCGCCGGTGTCCCCGTTGATGCCCGGAGCGGGGGGCAGGTCCGGCCCGCGGGGCGCGGCCGAGGAGCCGCCCTCCGCCCGCCCCTGGCCCCGGCCCCGCCGCCTCCCTCATCCCTCCTCCCATCCCTCCCTCCCTCCCTCCCTCCCTCCCTCCCTGCCGGCGCGGCGCGGAGCGCGGCGGAGCGATGTGGCGGTGGCGGTATGTCAGCGGCCGGCAGCTGGACGGCTTCCGACAGTACAAGGTGAGGAGCAGCCCCGGGGGGTCGGGAGGGGCGGACGGGGCTCCCGCTGTGGCGTCTCCGGGCTCCGGAGCGCTCCGCTGTGCCGCGGCCGAACGCGCAGCCCATCCCCGCTCTGCCCGCGGCCCCGCCGGCCGGACCGTCCCTCTGCCGCCAGGGCGTCCGCAGGGATGTTCCCCATCTCCACCTGTGCACGCTCGCACCTGGCCGGGGTCCGGCTCCGAGCGAGTGCCTTGCCTGGGTAGGAACTGGGTGTTCGCGAAGAGGCACGTCTCGGTGGAGGCAGAGTGAACCGGGCTTTGAGTGAGTATCAGCGTCTTTAAAAGCCCTGCCCGTTTTAGAGCAGCGTGGTTAGGAGGCATCTGGTGTTTCTGTAAGAAAGAGTGCGTTGATGGTGCTTGTCTGGCTCTGTGCAAAGCCTTCAGATACAGGAATTCTCTGGCACTGAGAAATAAATGAAGAAGCCAGGAAAAAAAACACCTTACTTTCAATAATTTGAACTAAACCTCGTGTTTGCAAATAACAGGCATGCAGAATTCAAATGAATGGGTGAATCATTAGATATTTAGATTTGCCAGTGTTATGTCACAGACTTAGGATATACCTGGGCTTTGTTCCCAGGACATTGCAGGTGCAGTACAGGGGATCATCCAGGTTTGCTCTAGCTGAGGTGCAGGTGTGCGAGATGGGCTATGCCACCCTGCTTGCACACACACTGCTCCCTGTGAAAAGCACGTAGCTTCCACCAGCACAGTGCCCAACCTATTATTTTATGTTCCGTTTCCCAAGACAGCCCCTACCCCACACTCCCCATGATTCTTGTCTTCTTGCTTTTACCATGTGCCCTCCCGGGCTGGCACAGGACCAGGGCAATCAGCTCCTCCCAAGCCCTTCCCTGGGCCAGCAGCTCTGCCTGCTCACCTCAGGGTGAATGATGATGGAGGAACTGTGGATTCGAGAGCTTTCTCCAGGTTGCTTACTAGGAACTTGTTTTGCACAGCAGCTCATTAAAATGTACCAACCTGTTCTGTGTCTCCGGTATGAGTGGGATAAAACATGCTGCAATCTGCATCTGGCCACTGGGTGTAAGTTGCACAGGCCTGTGCTTGAACGGTGGAGCTGCAGTCTTGACTGAGGTCACCAGACGAAAACAAAAAGCTGTTTTTAGCATAAACAGACATTGTTATTTAAGTAACTTTCCGAAAATATTTGAGTTCGTAGTACAAATACAAGGAACACTTGTGTTACATTCTTCCTTATCACTTGAATGAAAGTGGCTTCAAACAAGTGCAGATGGGAAAGAATCAAAAGAGCATTTAAAAAAAACCCCAACAAACCTGTAATCATTGTGCCATACTTATGATTTGCAGGACAAATGATTAACAAAAGACAGAATCACATATCAAACCATTTTATTTTAGTATATCAATTTCTTGAGACCATTGTAAAGGCCAGAAAATATATTTGGTAATTTTCCTAACTGTAGTACTCAGCCAACACACTTGAGAAGTATCTGTTCAACCGTGCCTGGAAGAAGGGTGGTAAGTACAGGTTTTAGAAAGATAGAAATTTATTTAGAAATTTATTTAGAAATCAAATAGTTGGTTTTCTATTACCTGAGGTGGCTCAGGATTAGGACATCCTGGAAATAATTAAATCCAAATGGCACAGGTTACACCCAGAGAAATACAGCTGCATGAGATGAGCTGGTGGGGTATCTGCACCATTTTCCTGGTGCTCAGGTTGCAGGAGGACCTGGCAGGTGATGGCAGCTCTGCCCATTCCCATTCCTAAATGCTCCTCACAGTAGATTAAAGTTCTCAAAAAATGCAAAATGAGTGCAGCAAGGAGACACTAATCACTGCCACAATCTCTTCCCCTCACCCTCCCATGCCTAGGGCTGCTGCCACAACCACAACTTTGTTCTCACCACCTCCCAGGCCTGAGACATGCTCTTCAGCCCCCTGTTGCCCTCTGGCTGCCATCTCCTCCCCTCCAACCTACGGCCTTACTGCATCCTGCTCCTCCAGCTTCCCAGCTCCTCTGAGGAGACTGCTGCTGCCTTTGCTGACTACTCAACAGGCACTAAACTCTTGATTACTGTGCCCAGCACACAGAGGTTACCTCTTCTTACAACCAGCTGGCTATTTCTGTAGTGTGTTTCCTGGTGAACCTGGCTCTGGAGTACTGTGGAAGGATACACAGGCTGGTCTTGTGGAGAAATAGGTAATCTCTCAAAGGATTTGTTAGCATATGTTTGATATTGAGCTAAACTCATGTATTTTGGACATTAAGCATGCCTAGGAAACCTTAGGTAGCAGTATGCACCTCTCTGTTGTGCATCCCAGTGCAGCATTATATTTGCAGTAGTATAGGTGGCTTAATATCCTCCGTGCTTTGCACAGCTTATCCATCGAGCTGATCTGAGAGCAGAGCATAACGCAGCTTAAAAAACTAATTTGTGTAATCGACTCCTTTCGTAAAGGCAAATTTGGCTTGAAAAAAAATGCTGTTTGATTTTCAAAATTTTCACACAGCTGAATTAATTTCTCTGCCATGAATACCACAATTGTATGTCTCAGGCACTGTCTGTCTCCTGCTCACAGTTGGAGGAGGGCCTTGGCAACAAAACCAGCACAGTTCTTTGCAAAGGGAATGGCAGACCTCCAATGAATGCAAAGACTTCAGCACCCTTTAGCATGTCAGGTCCATGTAAATTATGCTTTTGAAGCAAGTTTTCCCCAATTACCAAGCTTTGGTTTGTATCACAGAGTGACCTCAGAGCACAAAAATGCATTCCCTTTGAGTGAACCTGAACCAGCTGTACTAAGGAAAAATGCACAAGTACACCAAATACATTCAGTCCATACTATTATACTGTAACCAGCCTAGTGTAAAATTTTCATGGACATTGGATCCTCAGGGCTAGCTGTTTCACTTAACAAATCTATTCCTGTTTATTCTGCATGTTAATGGGGATTTAGGGATTCAGTTTTCTTTTACTGCTTAAAACCACACTGAGAACAGGTGGAGATGTGATAATGAGAGTTCGGATGCAACCCTCACTATTGCTGCTGTGATAATTCTGCCATCTTCTTGCCTGTGGGGCAGGTGGACAGGTCCTAATTTCAGGATAATTGCATGCTTGGTGATGTGCTGCAACTGTAGAGCAGAAGATGCTGACACTTGGATTTTGTGCTATTCCCTGCGATCTGGAGCAACACAGTCTGAAAGCTGCAGCCAACCTCTATTGTAGAGCTTAGGTCATATCATTTCTACTTTTGTATTTTATCAGCATTCTGCAGTTCTAGAGGAGCACCCACAGAATTACTCAGCTGCCTTTTTTTCTGCCTGTTTGGGTTTCTGTTGGAAACAAACAGTTCTGAGACAGCCAGGTGATGAGTACAGATAAAAGCAGAATTTGGACCAGAATGCAGTAATGCCAATGGTGAGCTCTTGTTGCTGTTGCGTCTTCTCATCACTTCACTTTTAGGATTTCCCTTGCAAATATGCCTTGAGTCATCTTTTCTGCAGCACCTGTGCAAAAAGGTTTCCCAAGCCAGAAAACACTGATGTTTTCTCCTGTTTCAGGAGAAAAGAGATCTAAGGACAAGCTGTAGAGGCTTGACTCAAAGAAGAGGCCTTGGAAAAGATTATTTAAAAAATCAGATATAACATTAAAAATTAAGGTCTATGGTTCCACATTTTTATCTGAATTTGTCAACACTGTTTTTGTCCTCTAAGCCATTTTTTAGAGGGTAGCTCGCTGAGCAGATAAGGGTTGGGGTGAGAGGTAAGATGAAATCAGTGTGAAATGGAAACATAAGAGTTATCTTAAGTTCTCTGTCAAAGTAGAAGGTTCTGTCAAATGGAATCCTACCTGTCTCTCTGTCCCAGTTCTGTTGCTGTTCAATACGTTCATCAAATAACTGAAGGGAGGAAATTGTAAAATTTTCACGTGATACTAAAGCATTCTGAAAAATAGGGTTATGATTCAAAATGTTCCTGGAAAGAGGATATAATGGCCAGAAATCAGTATGATTTCAGTGTAAACACTTAGGGGAAAGAAAAATCAACATTTTGAACACAAAATAGGAGACAGCAGACTGCAGTAAAGATTCCTGGGGAGCAGGAATATACTCTTGTAGCTGATGTACTGATCAGGTATCAGGTGGAATAATATGTCCTGCTTGCTTTGGCCCACAGTTTACAGTCCACAGAATGACATAATGGATACTAAGAGGCTTAGAAAAGATGAACTGTGAGAAACAAGCTGAGTACAATGGGAGTAAGAGCCTAGCAACCAGTTCATGAGTGCTCTTTTAAAGAAAGACGATGTGAGTTTTGGCTGCACAAAGAGAAATTCAAAGTGTCTGCTATGTCAGTCTTGTGTTGATAAGGCTTGCTGGAACAGGTACCAAAGGGGGTTGGGCAATCATCAGTCTTAAGAAATGGTTCAATTTCTCTGAGGGAAGATCAACAATCTAGTGTTGAGTAATAAACAGTTGCTGGTGCCTTTTTTTTAGCGAAGTTTTGGATAATGTATTCTCTTTTAGTGTGCCAACATGGTTGTTTATCACAAGCAATTGGCTCATTACCTCATGGTAACTTGATCTGCTTCCTTAATGTACACTGAACATGATCCTGCATTAGATGAACGTGCTGGACTAGAAGACCTCTCAAATTACATCCCAGCCCTCACTTTGGTAGGTTAGAGAAACAAGATCAGATGTATGATGATCATGTTTCAAGGCTTGATTGTTTCTCTTACACTGTCTTATACCAAAGGAGCAAAGTGTGTTGAGTATAATCTAGTGAGTTACTGTCTGGAAGTTCAGGATTCATCCAGATGCAAGACTCTGTGAAACCTTTATGCTTTTCCAAGGCTACCTGTGTAACTAATGAGATTTAGAAACATAGTGGGTCCTGTTCACTTTTGCTGAACTGGAGTTTTGCTTTTGACTCCAGCGGCACAAGAAGTTCACATGATATTGAAAATTTAG